CCGCAATTCAAAAAAAATCTGAAGATAACAAAAATAAAGGTTGCATGATTTTTGTTTTATGCTAAGTCGATCATTCTATATGGTATATGTTCCTTTCACTTTCAAGCTGTGGAGAGTTGACTGTATATTAAAAACTGATTCGTAGGAACATATTTTCGATATTTTGCCTATTTATGTTATCTCCTACATTCGGGTTGACATCGTACATACATAGTACTACAGGAAAGCATTAAAACTACATGTAACGATGTAACAGCTATACGTATAGAAATGAATGAGTCCAATTGGCAAATCAAAGTTGGCACTCGTGGAGAATAGAAGAACTATGAGAGTGATGATGGTTTCAAAATTTTTCACAGTGTGGTATACGAGTGCAATTGAGAACTTGCCGTAAAAGCTCTACGCATATGTCGCCACTGCATGATGATGATAATGTTGACAACTGCATAGGAAATTCATAAACATGAGCATTAAAACACAATTTTTATCAAACCTGCAAAACATCCGTCCAATATAACCAACCGGTGAACACTCGTGTTTATTTCAGTTACCATGGAGACGTAATTTGTGATTAGTCCCGGTCCCTTTCAAATTGTATCATTATTTATGAACGGCCTTATATTTGAAATGACGTTTCACATTCATCTAGTGATGTCCGATTTTCATTCGAATAATCGTTTAATCGATTAACGAACCGAAAAGTAAACTATTTATAGTCGGTTAGATCATGCCGATATAAGCATTAACATCTCCACAGGATCATCACCGATCGTTTCAAACATGTGCTGCACTCTCATTGGTGGAAAAATGGCAGCACAGCGAACAAAAAATAATCGATTAGTTGTTAATCGAGTAATTAAAAAATGGGACATCTCTGATTTTGGTGTGATTGTTTTGATAAAAATGAGCGCAAAATTTCATCTCTTCCGAGGGGGCAGCAAAACCACAAAATTACCTTGAATACGGGGGGTTCTCATTGGATGAAAGGGACCGTGAAAGAAGACACTAAAATAGAAAGTTTTTCTTCCGACAGTTTCATCTTAGTATTCATCTTTGATATAACCTTCGAATTGCGTAGGAAAACGTCATTCCGATGAGACTGATGTACATCTATGACTTTTCCAGTTGGAATTTCACACGAAACTTTCATTTCATTTCACGACACCGTCAATGGTACATAGCATAAAATATGTAATCAAAAGTAAATTTCTTAAATTGTTCTAAATAAAGGTGATTTGCTACTAATCACTGTGAAAACCATCTAGAATCATTCTAAGTTAGAGTGCCAGTTTATTACATGAAGTTCAGTAGTATTTTTCATCGAAATTTGTGAGTATTCAAATGTTTGCCTAAAAAGGATTATTATGAAGTATTATTGTATAATACCGTCCTAAACAACACTTTTTTCCGTAATCACCAGCATGACAAAAGTTGTCCTTAGAAAATTCACTTAATTTCCACTTTAATCTCAGTCGAAATCACGCATTTTAACCATTTTCCGAAAAATGAAGATGCGCAGGAGGTAACCTTTACATGTGAGTGCAAAATTTAAATGAATGATTTACCATGAAAACATCACAGAATAACACCGAAAGAAAAACAGTTAGCTACCGGAAACCTATTCCTACGCTATTCAAGCAACAGTTTCCCCGTGAAAACATTAGTTTTGCTTTATAGAGCGATTTTCCCCAAAAATAGCCCGTTTCCCTTGGAGAATTTTGCAACCATCATCGATTTAACAGTTCTCACTTCGAAATGTAGGTGGCGAAAGCTCGCAAAAGTTTCACTGCAAGACGTCAATCTTAAAATGCTTTTATTTTGTAAATGGAGCATTTTATTTAAATCTGGTTAATGCTACGCTAGTAGAAAACTTAAGGACTAATTAATAGGCATATAATGTAGAAAAAATAATTTCTTTTCAGATTTTTAGGTGTAGACATAGATTTTAGCTTTTCTACAACTGTAGCAGCAACCAGATTTAAATAAAATGCTCCATTTGCAAAATAAAATCATTTAAAGATTGCACTTGTATACCTCCCCGTGGAAAATTTTGAAAGCATCATCACTCTCATAGTTCTTCTATTCTCCACGAGTGCCAACTTTGATTTGCCAATACCACTCATTGTTTTTCGTGTTTTTTACTCGAATCTATTTTCATGGTGAAGCTTGGGAAATTATGTGCTTCATGCTGCTTCTGTTAGTATTTACCACCAAAGGGTGACCCGCTCGGATGGCGAAATTCACTTTTAATTTAAAATATCAATACCGATTCAATTTGTTCGACATATTATTCCTACATTATGTCGCTATTACTAAAAAGAACAAATTGTAGAAATTTATTCACCCCAAGAAGCAATGTTTGAAGAGGAATTGCCGATTTTTTCACAATCCCCATACCGCAAAACTAGTTCATCCACCACTGGCGGAGCGACATCTGCCGGTTTTGAAGGTGGAAAGTATTTACGTATTACCCAATTCGACCAAGAGCAAATTTTCATTATGTCGAAAGTAACATTCGCACCGATCCGAGAAAAATAAAGTTTTGCTTTGATGACCGAAAAGTTATTCCTATTTCCAATTAAACACATATTATCTCATAGTGATGGCAATGTTTAACATATTAAGCAGGGTTTTAATCATACAAAGCAAATCGCTAGCTTTCATGTTAAAAAATACTGGTTGTGAGTCAAAAGTGTATTTACCAGGATATTCGGGAGAATTATCAATCACGTCTCCTTACGTGATCATTTTAGGATCACCGAAATCATCTTAGCAACAAACAGTTCGATTTATTCACTTTAATAATGAGAAGGCGAATCGACGAACGTACACTTTTCACGGGTTTCTCTGCGCTGTTACTTAAGGTGATACGACACGTCACGCTTTTTTGCTTTTTTTTTTCTCTACTTTCTATGTGTCAGTGAATTGATTATCATTGATGCTGTAGTGGTGTGAGTGTACATCATGCAATACCGCAACTACCATAAACATAGCTGCTAGAGTTCGTTATCATTAGGTCGAATGTGTAACAGTTGATAAAAAAAATAAAAAAGGTAAAGAATAAGTTATGTTCATCTTACTGTAAATTTCAACCTTCGTCATTTTTAAAAAGCCACCAAGACCAACATGTCAAGTCATCATAGTAGTTAATTGATTCAACATCACACTTTGTACACTTTGGTTACATACGACCTGTCCAAAAGTGATTCCAGAGCTAAAACCTCCAGATACACGGTAAGAAAAAATATCCCAAAGTGACTCATTTTCACAAATCTCGGTACTATATTGCAGGAAGCCAAAAGTAGGTAATGTGGGTCGAAGAGTTTTCATTTGATTGTGTTCAATTAGTGTGGAATTGACAATTCGCTTCTACCCAAAAAATAGTTGTACCCAAAAGTAGCTGAATATGATTATACTCAACGTGATTATACTCAAAGTCAAAAGTAGGCAAAAATGAACTGGACGCTGGATATTTTTTCTTATCGTGTATGTTTTTGTTTTCGAATCATCCTTTTGCCGCCTTTTGCATATCAGCTGATGGCTTCGAGAAGTGCAACCAGAACGACACATATGTTTTCTATAGAAGATTTCTAGGTTCATTTAATTTCATTTTGTGTCTTGAGAAACAAAATAAGAAATTGTTTTTAACATTTATTAGTGGTGGTTTCTAAATTGAACACAGTTTAAGCACCTTAAAAAGCAATAACAGCATTGCTTTTACACACTTTGTTTCAATTAAATCGATAACACTGGATACGATGATAGATGATTCGTACACACACCTTCGTAATGCGGTGTGTAGAAAAAGGTAAACAAAACAGTTTCAGCTTGCAAAATTATTCGCGGCTCGCGTTTTTAACGATGCAAATGATATTATTTAAGTAAATGTCGTCTTTAAAAGTGAATTAACTTGAAAGTGATTGGAGAAGCACGGGTCGTAATTGTTTTTAGTGTGTTTCTGAGAAGTGAAAGCTAGTGAAAACAGTAATTGAAATGTCGTGCCCCGAGCAGAACAAAATCGGCTGAACGTACTTTTTAATGCAAATATTACCAAGGCGTGAATGAATTGGCAATATTTTGGTGGAAAAGTACTGAAATATGTATCCAGATCTTATTCATACAATTCAGGCCAATTTTTTAAGGTATGTAATTAGTAATTTACTGTTTTGTAGGAAGATGTCTTTCGTACGCATACCAAAGCACGTTTATTTAATGATTGTAGGGACAGCCATTGTTGCATGACGTGCCGTATCACCTTAAGACAAACGGCATCTCCATAGAAATCGGGGAAAACATCGAAAAATATTTTGATCGGAAGGTGATTACATCAAAAAACAATTTGACAGGTAAATAAATTTAAAAATGGGATGTGATCCTATGTTCGGACAGTATATAGTGTAGCAGCAGGAGTATCGATTGACATTGATAGCTCGACTTTGTTTACCTTTGTTAGTTTCGACGTAATGAAAATTTGCTCTTGATATGCTATACACATTGTGTAGTAGGCTACCATGCGTCTCCAAGATTTTATATTTTTTCATACCGCTTTGACTAAACTAATCACTTTTGAAACATGTAATTTAGGATATTTTCATTTTGTTTGAAACTTGGAAGAAATTAATTATTAATCATTCCGCAATTCACGAGTATGCAATTGAAAAGATTGAAACCGACGCCTGTGGTACTCCACTCCACTCTACATGCACACAGTCACACAAAACCGTCCAAACCAAGGTGACTACATATAGGTGTTCTAATGTGTCAAATTCATGATTCAGCCATGTTGAATTTTTGTATGGGACAGAGACCGAGTTTGCTTACAACTTGCTCTAAAACCGCACTTTTCCTCCCCGAGACCTCCTCGCCCATATAGTGACAAAGCTGTATCACCATGTATATACCCACCATGGTGCAAACAAATCAGTATGACGATGGGATGGAACCGATGGAACGAACACATGGTAGCACAGTAAGCATATCAGTCTGTCTGTCCTGCCTAACGTATAAATATAAGAGCGCGAGGGAAGCCCGCTGACATAGTATCTTTATTGTTTGTTTATTGTGGTTCGTGTTTGAGTGCCTATAGCCTACCTCGCAGATAAAAATGGTTCTCCAGCTTGGTGATCAGTTTCCCAACTTCACTGTGGATACTACCATCGGCAAGATTGATTTCCACCAGTGGGCTGGCGATTCGTGGGTCATTTTTTTCTCCCATCCGGCTGATTTTACCCCAGTTTGTACTACGGAGCTATCCACCGTTGCTCGTATGGTGCCGGAATTTGCCAAGCGCAACGTGAAGCCAATCGCTCTCTCGTGTGACTCGGCGGAATCGCATCGACAATGGATCGCGGATATCAAGGAATATGGCAAATTGGACGACTTAACCTACCCAATCATTGATGACGAAAGCCGGGAATTAGCTGTCAAACTCAATATGCTCGATAAAGACGAAATTGGAGCCGAGGGACTACCGTTGACATGCCGCGCCGTTTTTGTTATCGATAGTAACAAGAAGCTTCGCCTGTCGCTCCTGTATCCGGCCACCACAGGTCGAAACTTTAGTGAAATTCTTCGTGTCATCGATTCGCTGCAGTTGACCGACAAGAAGAAGGTAGCAACTCCTGCCGACTGGAAGCAAGGTGATTGGTGCATGGTGCAACCGAGTGTCAAAGAAGAAGATTTGCCTAAGATGTTCCCTAATGGAGTGACGAAGGTTCAGTTGCCATCGGGCAAAGGTTACCTTCGCAAGACCACTATTTAAGTTAGGATAGAAAGTGATATACTTAAGCAAGCTTGTGCATTCGAGACTTACTATTTTATAAATCTTTATGAACCCAAAGCATTTTGCTGTCACATCTTCGGCAATAAATCATTCTGTTTTCTCCTGTAATATTTTCATATTCTTTTATTTGATGACAATCTAAGTTGATGCAACCAAGGAACAATTATTTCGAGCTGGGTTTATTGAATAAAATGAGTAGGTAACACCTCGTTTTACATGGAAATTGGTTTTGGGAGGTTTTTTGTTATCGGTGCACAGTGGTTGAATTCCCGATAAGATTACAACCAGTGAAAAATTGTGTAATAGTTTTGTTTGATTTATCAAATTCAATGGTTTTGGAAGGATTTTCCCATCCATCAATAACGCAAATTAGAAACATTGCAATTGATTGAAGACCTTTACCCTTATTCCTGCTTTCAAACAAAATGTTATTCAATGTAGGCCACCTTCAATGGTAATTTACCTGCAGAGCTTTGCCAGTTAAATAATGTTGAACTAATTTCATAATAGAGAGTGCAAAATTAAAATCTAACAATTTAGCAATCAAACCTTCATGCCATACTCTGTCGAATGCTTTTTCTATGTCTAGAAGAGCAACTCCAGTTAAGCAGCTTTCAGATTTGTTTGAACGAATTAAATTGGTAACTCTTAAGAGTTGATGGGTAGTTGAATGCAAATAGTTTAGGTCATCTGCAAAAAATCGACTTTTCGCGGCTGTCGGGACTCAACGCTACCTACGGTGCTTGAGTAATGTGCAATTCGATAGAGCTTACCAAACGCGTTCTGGGCTTATGTAGTGTTTGGAATTTAGTCGGTACGGACGCGAAATCTCTTTAGTAGTGAATATTTAGGGAGGAAACCAAAATTAATCACCTTTCCAACATAGGCTATCACATTTATTTTGGTGGCACTCTGCAAACTAACTAATTTTTCTGCTGCTTCGCGCGGCGTTCGGGACTCGCTCGGTTAACGGAACTCACTTAGTTTAGATATGTTATACTTAAACAGATTTACTGTTTCGATCGGAGTACTAAGCGGACGTATCCGGGATTCACAATTCCATACTGATCAAATTGGATTACTACTTGCCTCGTTAATACGAACTCACGTCACAGGCTTTTTTCAAAACTATCTTGAAACAATATACAAGAACGAGTGTTCAAACAAACAACATAGGCTAGTCCTTCTGTAGTATTGTCGATAGATAGAAGCAAAATTAGTACACATGGGTCAAGTTTTGAAAAGTAAGCTGTCACGCAGCTCCAGCTTGATACCATAAAAAAGTAATATCAGGGCTGGTAGCGAGTCACTTTTTAGTGACTACTTAGTCACTATTTTCAAGCCAGTCACTAAAAGTCTCATTTTTTAAGACCAAGTCACCTAAGTCACTTTTTCTTGTAATCAGTCATTATTTTCATCTTTTTTAGCGTGAATTTATTTCAAGATTGATCATTCTTTGCTTTGTGACGTTAGACGTCTTTCTCTATCTACAGGTGTCTGCTCACTTCTAAATAAAATTACATGAGTTTTACAGGTTTTTCCAGAACTTTAACGTATAAATTCCAGACTTATAACAAGCTATTTTTTAATGCGTTAATTTTTTTTTGCAGTTCAAAAACAACAGGAAATAGCCCAAACGTTTTTATGACATGACAATCAGTTTTAAAGAAACAGTTTTACAATCAAATCCATTGAATGTTGAAGTTTAACTCTTATTTAATTTCTCGCTTTAATAAAGCTTAAAAGCTTACTTAGGTTTATTAAGACCAAGATATAAAAATACTCAATGTCTTGAATTTTCGTATTTCATGTACAAGTTTCTAGATATTGAAAATTTTCAAAGTGCCAGAATTAAGGAAAAAAATAAATGATTTATTTCAAGTTCGTAATTAACTTTATGAAAGATAAGCGATCTTCATGGCAGACCCATTAAGTTCACAACAATTGTAGGAACTTTAGAAAAGTTCTGAGGAATGAAAGGGAATGCTGAGAATTTCAGTGCAGCTCCATAAACAAACTGCGGGAACAAAAAAGAATTTAACACGCTGAAAATATGGGAAACTTTCTGGATGCTTTGAGAACGGTTTTTTTTAAATTAATTTATTTGATTAGGTTCAACCGAATTTACTTTACAGCGCCGAGGATTCTTGGTCACTATACAATAGATCTTAAAACTATAGTCAAAAGGTCAACACAATAAACACTTTATCTTCCGCTATCCAAAAAGCCTCCTCCAGAACGGGAGCCGCTTCCAGTGGTTTCATTGTATGGCAGATTCGCCAACGGGGAGCAGAGCGCAACAATGGACGCAAAACGTGGTCAGCACTCACACATTCCCTTAATTCCAGATAATTTATGAAAACTTCAGAAATATTTCAGGAACTACACAGTCCAGAGAATTCCAGGGACATTTAAATGTGTTTACGAGAATTCCATCTATTTCCGAGCAGAACCGAGATCTTCAATAGAATTGAGAGCTTTAGAGAAGGTTAGAGAACATCAAACAGATCAGAGAATCAAAGGGCAGTTCAAATAAGTTCAAGGAAATTGTAGAAATGTTAAAGAAGTTTCGATTTCTACAGGAAATGTTCGGAAACTTCAGCAAAGCTTCGAGAGAATTTCTGGAACGTGATAAAAATTATATGAACATCCGGAAAACGTGTGAGCATTTAAGGGTGTTATATCATGGAGGTTTCAAGAACTTTAAAAAAATGCGAAAATTTAGCTAAGTGGATTAGACAAATAACGAAGTTCCATTAATTAATACCGATACCGATAATTAAAAAAATGCGAGAGCTTTTAGCAAGCAGCGATATCTAAAAGAAATTCCAAAGAACTTTTAATAAATATAGATATTTGTCGATGTTTTATGATATTCAGCGAAGTTCCGAGTACTTCGAGGACGATCAGCAGGCTTCAGAATCCCATTAACTTAAGTAAATTTGCAGCGACTTACAAGAAGTTCCGTGGGAGGTGTTGAGAATTGTTTGTGGTCCCTGTGGGGCTTTGACTGGAATGGTTGTGGAGCTTTGCATGAGTGTGTCGCGAATTGGTTGCCTGTAAATTACTGATTGCCAGCTCGCGATACATTGCAAGTAGGGTTGACCGATGGTGCAGGACCGTTAGTGGACCCGCAGGTGTTCATGTGGAGTTCCATAGCCGTTTCTGTTGGAATTTGCCGTGGATTGTAGACGGTTTTTGGCAGTTTTTAGTAGGATCAAGTTGTGGTTAGCGTTGACTACTTATATGATTTATTTGATTACTTCTAGGTGAAACACGAAATGAGATGCAAAGCGTAGAGAAAAGCAAACCTATGGAACCCATAGATTGGAGCAGCAAGTTAATATGATGAGACCATTCCAAATACTTTTCACAATTAAAAAATAAATAAATAAACTAAATACGTGCCAGGTTCAAAAGAACATTTTGAAACTGGAAGTGTGTGTGTAATACTAATATCCTATTGATAGAGGTAATACATACATGCGGGACTTATTGTAAGTGAAAGTAACCTCGGAATGGGCGTGACTCTCCAGACATTCTGAAATGGGTTGCTGGATCTGCAATAGAGCTATCACCTTCTAACTCCCGGACTAAAGCTGTCTACAATGACCATAAATGCGACATTGTAAGGAGAGTTCTTCCATAATACCACTGCCGGCCAGTGGGGGTTAGATGGAACACACACACACACACACACACACACACACACACACTTACAAGAAGTTCCGTGGAATTATGGGGTATTCCAAGAATTCTATGATTGATCCGAAAACGTCAGAATTATGAATATATATCAGAAAATTTGCCGGATTTTTAAACAAATTTGGAGAACTTCATGTAAACATAGATAAGTTCAGGGAAAATTAGTGAGCAATTATAAATTGTCGAAATTTCAAGGCATATCAATAAATATCAGTAAGATTGCGGGTTCTACTGATAAATTCAGAGCAGTCTAGAGAACTTCAGAAAAATTCAGTGAAAATCATAGAACTACATTAATTATTTCGTTGTAATTCTATGGAAATTGCGGGAGCACAAAAGTTCCAGAAATTTAGAAAAACTTAGAAAACTTCACTGAAGGACAGTGGTCTTCAGAAGCATTTCGAGAGCTTCATAGAAATCTATGGAGCTTAAGGGGAGATCCCCGAACTTCAGGAATTGTTATGAACATTAACAAATTGCGGGAGCACTTGAAAGAAGTTTAGTTAGCTCCGAAAATTGGAGGAATTTCAGGGGGAGGTCAGTTCCATTAGTTTCAGAAAATAAGTGAAAAAACTTAAAGCAGTTCCCATATTTTCAGTTAACTTCAGAGACGTTAAAAAGTTAATTTGGGTCTTCACATAAGTTCAGAAGTTCACTAAAGCTTAAACAATTTTAGGACGGTTCAATTCAATTCAGCGCAGTACAACATGCTTCATGAGAACTGCAAAAACTTTAGAGAAGTTTTGAGAATTCCATAAAAGAACACGGAACCTCAGAACAGTTTCGTTAACATTAGAGAAGTCACATCAATTTTAAAGAAGTTTAGAGAACTTAGCGAATTGTTAAACCTTTAGAGGAGATCCATGATCGTTAGAAAAATTGAGGAAACTTTAGGAAGCCCTATAAAGTTCAGGGAAGTTTAAGAATTTGATGAGAAGTATTGTAAGCATCAGGCTAGTTTCTCAAACTACAAAAGAATTTCAACGCAGATTCATTAATGTCAGGAAAAAATTGGGAACTTTCAAGTAGTTCTGAAGACCTCAGAATTGTCCATTCCATATTCAACGGAGATTTCCATTGAAATATTCCTCAAGGTTTCGATGAAGCTATCTTCAGAATTCAATTTTCTTTTAATTGTCCTTGGAATTTCCTTGATATTCTTCACAATAAGAAACTCTTTGGAAAGATTCTCCGAATATTAATTGAATTCATTTCAGATTTCCTTTTGAATCTCACTCGTTCCCTTGGAATTCTACTCACATTGAAAGTGTCCTAAAA